TGTGTATGTATATGTATATGTATATGTGTACGAACCCTTCCTCACATCCTGTTTGCTGATGTCCTCGAAGATGTGCCTAATTGTTCACTTTCAATGTTGCACCCCACTTATCTTTTAATGGAATTCCTCGCAGCTGTCTGACCCCGTCAGTAAACACATGCGAACGTTTAAGAACAAAGAGGGTTACACACCAATCCGCATGGATACACCCTTGGCTGAGGTGGAGAAATTCTTTAATCAACATGTATGTACAGACTTGTTTGTGCTTTGATGTGCATGTACGTATATATGCGTGTATATCCGAGTACACACATGTATATGCATACATGTATGTATGATTGTGTGTATATTTGCGTGTAAGCATGCATATGTATAATCACATACACACATACCCACCCACCCACACCCACACACACACACATATATATATATACGCTAAAATTTCTATAGTACATTTCTTGGGTTCCCTACGCTGGCGCGCAAGAGTAGGAGTTAATGCTTATGCAAATGTGTATAAACCCACTATCCACGTACTGATGCCGTGTGTTCAAAATGTGTGCGCGTGCGAACCTCTATAGTTGATGTGTAGTTATAGTGTATCATTCCAACTCCACTGAAAACACTGCTACAATGACCTTTACAGAGAGTTCCAATTCTATAGCAGAGTGCGGCTCGATATTGGTCGGGAAGTTTGAAGAATAGTCTACAAAAGACTCGCTGATATATACCTACCATCCCCCACATGTACCTATATTGTGTGTTGACTACACCGTATACACATACAAATATATACCAACCACTCATGCGCTTCCTTGAGTCCCCACGCAGACTGCCCAGCGTTCATCACAGACTATAACGACTGGTGTTTAAACACTACACCACATACACATACAAGTATATACCAAATACTCATTTTCCTATTACATGATAGCTCCTCATTCCAATATTATTCATTTCCTATGCACATCCGTCTTAAAGGGTCCCCATGCGGACTGCCCAGCGTTCATCACAGACTACAACAACTGGTGTTTAGGCGTCATCACGAAGGTGGACTTGCTCTCCTTCCTGTCGCAGCGCCGGGTGTAAATCGCGGACGATTCACGCGTGTCTGGGATTCAGTACACAAACAATGCAGAAATATATATCACTGTGTTTACATTGTTTTGTAGACGATTCTTGGATATAAAACAATAACCCAGGATTGTGATGCAACTGTGTTTAATTTTGTAGACGACTCTTGGATATAAAACTGGATATAAAACAATACCCAGGATTGGGATGCGAGCCGAAGTCAGCTGGTTTTAGTATCGTAAAACCGGGTTCACAAAATAAAAAGGCTTCGAAAACATACATAGCACCAGTTCAGTTTATGCTATGCTTGGACAGCGGACACATCCATCTCCATTTGAATGCGAGCTTAAGCACAGCAGATGCATGTGCTCATAGTTCATAGTGTGGTCCGAAATAACTGCAAATGTCATCAACTCTCCTGTGCGTATAGAGCTGGCTTTTGGGCTACAGGTATTGGCATACATATATACATACATACATGAATGCGAACCGCGGTTGGGATAGGTTATTACCAGGTGTGGGCAATGCCAGATAGTACTCAACACAGCCACTTCACGTGCAAACAAAGGTCTTGATACAAACATCGAACGCAATGAAGGAATATACAGTATTCAAATGAGGAGCATATCCTATTGTTTGCCAATTTCAGACTGGCCCCTTGCATCATCCGAGTCGAGAATACTTTTACAAAAGCAGGTGTGCCGTTTCGATTAGTACTGCTTTTGGGTACGTATATCGATGGTACAAGCACGATTCACACTTAGGCGTACAACAATTTCATTCGTAGCTTATTGGACAGATACTATTAAGTAATACGTTCATGCCTTCAATAGTTGCTTCTGACGCATCCTGCACACATAAAGCTGCGAAACTCGCAATTCTGCTGGGTGTGAGGCGGATATACACGCACTTATAAATGTAACTTTATATACATTACATAACATAACATAACATTACATTAATATATATATCACATACATATACATATACATATACATACACATATCGATTTTATAGTACATATCTATTTATACATCTGAGAAGCATGCAAAAATACGAAAGCGGTATATAAAATTCCCTAACAAACTATATACATACAGGTTTAATATCTTATCTATGCCGAAACAGTCGGGACCTAGACCTATTATGTCTTCCTGTGTGTCGTCCTTCGTGTGGCTCTCCCAGATCTACTCGCTGCACCAATTCCGGATCCTTAAGGGACCGGTCCATACATAACGAATTACTTACGTATTTGGCCACACTGGTGTTCTTGTAGTGGGCTGCCTTGAGTATCAGCTCAATCCCATTCTTGAGTGTAACCCACTCACTCTCCTTACAGAACATCAGAGAGAGATACCGTTGCTTGGACGCTAAGTATTGTCGCATGACGAAGTCCACCCGTGAGTTTTCCTCACCCAGCACACTCTCACCGTCCACACTCAGCAACGCAAACCCTTTCATAACCCCCGACGCATCCGCAACAGACCCCCGTGTGACACTTTCGACGGTCCGTCCGTGCAGTACCAAGCCATCTAACTGTCTGTTTTTCTTTATACTCAAGCGGCAGTTCACAAACCACGGCTGCGCCAGGAACTCGACTGTCATAGTCTGTGTAGTGTCTAGTACATGCTGTACATCTCCCAGGGAATTCGCGGCCAGCTTGTTCACTGCTACGATACGGTCACCGAAGCTCATGCCCACTCTATACGCACCTGGAGCGGATGGGGCAGTACAACCATAGATAAGTATTTACGGTACACATGTTCCGGACATCTTACGTTGCACCAACGCCGTCAACGAACACACACATCCAGCCAAAGTGGATTGAGTGGTATTGTAGCGTGTGTACACTAATAGTACAAAGACACTATGAAACCTATGCCGGCCGTTTGCGTGTACGACAAATCTGCGGATAACTATGCAATTGCCAAGCGTAATGCAAAGACTTTTGTTTGGCGTTGTTTAGAGTCCCACGAGCTTCTTATAGAAGTGTGTTGGATGATCCAGCCTCCAATGCATATGGGAACGAGGACAGTACAGACTTGAATGAGGATATCGACTGGTTCGCATGGAAGGGTTAAGCAGAAAAAAGGGGTCGCTGTGGCTGTTGAAACCAGCCAAGCAGTACTGAAAAATTCCTAAAACCCTAAAAGCCAACTCTCCGCACATCCCTAACTTGGTACTATGAGAGTATCAATGGTGTTGGGAATAGCTTTTGAGAGACACCGCCCATACACTCATCCCTCTACTTTCTTAACTCTGATCACCGGTTTACTGCCTCTAATGTGAAAATGATATAAAACCCATGGTAATGTACACTTTGCACAAACAAACCTATATCATACACACAAAAATCATAGTCTATATCATATATATGAACATATATAAAATAATATATAATATAATATAACAAGTAGCAATATATAACAATATACCAATATAATAGTATAGTAGTATAATAATATAATTATATAATGATATATTATTAATATAATAATATATATGATAATACACACACACACACACACACATATATATAATACACATCTCCACCCACCCACCCACATACACACGCATATATATATACATATTACACGCCGCCACCCACCCACACATGAATATATATATATATGTACATATATATATATTTTACACACCCCCACACACCCACCCACACAC